TTTTGGGTCAACCACTGGACCAGTAGGTAGCGGTGATGAGTGATGTGCTGTTCCTGGGCTTGACCACTGCTTCAGAGCTCAGACTGTGCGCTTGAGTCACTTGAGTCACCAAAAATGTGCATCCTTCAGCCACAAAAATGTTTTAAGGAGCTCAGCAGCTCCTTAAACAGTGTGTTATATAAAAAAATATTTCAATTTATTTGTCAATCAATAACTTCTTAGACCTGTAAAGCTCATACAGATCACATGCAATGGAACCACAAATATAAAAACAATTTCCCATTATTATTTTTAGCACCAAGTTTTATTTCTTTAATTATTGTTTGGTATAAACACATATTTTAGAAAGGGTGGGGTAGACTGAATATTTTTTGCTGGATCTAAGCCTTTATTATGCTCTTTGCTACAGGACAACATGCTTCACAGACACATCCTACTAATGCAGTGGTCCTGGCCCTCTTGGTCACTGGCAGCAATATCAAGGGGTTGGTCTGCTAAAGGCAGCATCCCCCTCTGCAAGCTGGGATCACTGCTAGACATGTCCTGGCACCCTGTGCCTATGAATGTTGCCAAAGGTCTCTGGTGCCTGCCAACTTACATTGAAGCAAGAAGAGTGCTGCTATTGAATCATAGAATCATAGAATTATTTGGCTTGGAAGGGACCTTAAAGCTCATCTAGTCACAATCTCCCTGCCATGGGCAGGGACAACTTCCACTAGACCAGGTTGCTCAGAGCCCCATCCAACCTGGCCTTGAACACTTCCATGGATGTGTTCATGGATGTGCTCATGGATGGGGCATCGACAAATTCTCCGGGCAACCTGTGCCAGTGCCTTACCATTCTCACAGCAAAGAATTTTCTTCTAATAACAGGGAGGTTCAAGCAATCACCTGCCTTGAGGGTGGCCCTGGGATGAGCCAGGTGTTTTGCTGCTGTACTTCAGAGGGCATGTAGTGCTCGAGGGGAGCAGCCCCCAAAGTGTTGTCTCATCCCTCTGCCACACCCCCTCACATTATATGGATTAAACTCTGAAGTTACTGAGTTTCTAATTTGTGAGTGAGAGTTTTCTCATCTCACTTGCCTCTGTTAAAACTGGCTTTCTAAAGTGTCAGTGGCAAGTGCACTACAGGGAAAACTGAACCAGAAATTCCTACATGGGTGTCTGAGTGTTTGTGTAGATGCTTAATTGTCATTTGCATGGCAGGGGTCACCAGTCATGGGAGGGGTTGCACCAGAGCACACCTGAAAAAACCCAGTGCCTCATTCTCTGAGGGGCACTTCCTGATGAAAGAACTTTGCTCTTGACGACAAGGAGGGATAGGGAAAGAGTGCTGGGGTTCCCCCCTCCACACCTCCTCTGCCCAAACCACACTGCTCAGTTGGAAAGTTAAAGAAAATAGATGAGTTTTCATACACCCACCTCTGCAGACTCATCCTGCAAGTCAGGCAGAGTTTGTTCTCCCTCCTTCCCACGCATCGCCTCTGCTACTCAGCCTTGGCCCTGGAGCCCCTTCTCCCATCTCCCCCAGCTGCTACTGGGTGGAGAACTCACCATAAACGCACTTTAATTGCTCTGACCAGCATGGTCTCCCTGGGGCACGTCCCAGGGGCACACTGGCACCGGGTTTGTTTCTACAGGTGGGCTGAATTGTGGCTGTTCTCAGCCCACACTGAGCCCCGGTGGGGCAGTGCAGCCTGGGCCCCATGGGCTGTGCTGTGGTGGGTCTCCCCTCCCTGCCTGGCTGACGGTGCTGGGTGGGAAAGGCTGTGGCTGCTGCTGCCTTCTCAAGAAGCTTGCTGCTGGAGCCATCACGATGTGCTGGCAGGGCACGTCGGGTTCAGCACCAGAGGAGTGGCTCTCAGTGTGTGGGGTGGGGGAAAAGCACAAGAGTAACTCATTATATACACCAAAAGGTGTGGACTTAATTTAGTGTTGTCATCTGACTAGGGCTGATTTGTTTTGTAAAATAAAATGTACAAGAAACCTGTGGTAAAAAAAAAAAAAAAAGAAAAAAAAAATAAAGAAGACACTGCTATAAGTATGAGAGCTGGATCAGCTTGGCCCAGGGAGGAGGCCTGGAAAGGGTCCAGGGAGGGCAGAAAGATCCACGAGGAGTTTCCTGCAAAGAAACTGTTCGAGAAATTGGTCAGAGGCAGCGTACATGTGACGCCTGTGCAGCTCTGCTTGGGTGGAGGGGGAGCCATTGTCAGGGAAAGCAGCCCATCCTTGAGATTTGGAGGGGAGAGAGTGGGAAAGAAGGTGCAGTCTGGATCAACCTGATCCAAAATAATATGTGGTTTGTATTTTCTAAGTAGAAAATTAAATAAAAAAAAAGAACCCAAAAAAAGTAAGTAGAGCAAATGATTTCATGTTGGAGGAAATATAATTTTTCCTATTAAAAACCAAAACAAACCAGACTAGAAAACTCCCAGATTTTACAGTTAAAAGATTCGTGACATGCACTGAAATATTTTCTGGCAAAGCTTAGAGGTCTCTCCTCCCCCCAGTACCATGAAGCTGGTGTTATTGGAATGTCGTCTGCCTGGATGGGAACACCATCACACTGAGTTTTTGGGACCCCACACCATGTGTGTTCTTGGAGGTTTTGCAGCTTTGACACCAGTACCCACTGCCAGTGTTTCCTTTCTTACTCTGGACCCAAAAGCTCTCCACCAGCAGCACTGGAAACAGGATGGGTACAGGAGCTGAGTGTGAAACTAATTTCGAAGAGGTGCTGGAAACTGATGCTGACGGGATCTTTGGAAACTCTTTCACCAAGCTGAAAAAAAAGGATTTCCTAAAATGACTGAAAATGAATTTGCCACATCTGCAAAGAGTGGATTGTGGGTTATCTGTCCCTGAAAATAGCTAAGGAAGCACTACAGTCAGAAACTTTTCAGTTTAAATGACAGCTGCTAATGTGCCCATGGGTGATGGCAAGTTCCAGGTACGCTACCAGTCATCTTAAATCCTGAAAACATAACTGTTTGAATTGTTAAGGCTCTACTACTTTGCACAAAAAGATGGTCTCTTTGGCCAAAAAAAAGCTAGTTTTGGATTTAAGGACAACCTGAAATTAAAGCCAACAGTTTGAGAATCTGTAATTGATCTGCTCAGAACAAATTATTTGGCTACCTGAAGAGAATTAAAATATTTTAATTTTTTTGAAAGAATAGCAAAGAAGAAAAATATTAACCTGTTGAGAAAGAGGAAATTGTATGGGCAAACTAAAACAAGCAAGAATTTGACCTCCATATTGGGCAATTGTGTGCAGAGATGGAGAATAGAGGACTCAGTTTAGTTTGATGAACAATCCAATTACTGTTTATGACATAAAATTAGACTCTGTATTTGAAAAAGAGCTACAGAAATGAAAATGATTTTATGTCATTGACCTTAACACACCTTTGTAATGTACTTGATGAGGGGGATTTTGTTTTATTTTTACGGAGACAAATTCAATAGATTTACAGTGACGAATGCAATAAAATTATACACATGGTGAAGGCAGCAGAACTCTGTCCAAGAAACTTACCTCCTAGAAATTTGCCATTTTCAGCTGGAAAGTCTCAAAGGCATGACTCCAGCAAGGCTATTTAGTCAAACAGTACCAGATGGATTTGTGGGATTCATCTTCTGATTTGGTTATGAATGAAAGTAGTCAGTTAGGAGTTTGCTGAAGGCTATTTTTGCCTGGAGAAGTTTGGTCAAGATAAGGTTAATGCAGTTGTGCTTGGGTGTGCTGTGCTTTGAGTGAAGGATGTGTGGAAATGGGAGGGAAAGGAAGCTCGCAGGAAGCCAGGTAACACAATGACTGAAGTATGTTGCTTGAGTGAATTCAGTTTGTGACATTTTGCTGGGATACAAAATGTCACGGTCTCCAGGAGAATTTGTGACTGAATTTTCAGTATTTTCCTTTTTCCAGGAACCTCACCAACAATACAGCTCATGTTGTCCATGAGGCATAAATATCACTATTTCCACCCTTCAGACTGGGAAGCAGAGAAGGAGTTCTTTGACTAATCTCTGAAGAGCTGGATTCTATCTGGGTTTTGATGGGCTTGGAGCATCTGCGTCTCTTTAAATGGCCAGAGGTTGGGCACGAGCCCCTAGGAAGACAGGTATGATGGACTAGCAGGGAGTGACACTTCATACTTACAGGAAGTAAGTAAGAAACCCTATGCAGAGAAAGGTCTTTCAACCAAGGGCTTCAAAGTATATTTGTGTCTCTTTCTCCTGGAAAAAATTTTAAATGGTTTTTAAGTGCTTATGTAAACTCAGACTACTGTGGTAGGCATTCTTGTATAATTTCCAACGTGCCTTTGGTCCTGAAAAATTGAAGCAGCTCAGGTTTTCTCAGCATTTCATGGTCCATGAGGTGTCAGATGTTGGTACATACAGAGGCACCACCTGATGAGCTGACAGAAGCCCAGAGCTGTGTTCAGCCCAGCTTTGACTAAGCTGACACCCTCCTGTTTCCCCTTTATCACTGGGGGAGAGCAATGAGGAGATTCAGGGAGTAGGACACATCATACAGAGCAGATCCATTGATCACGTGGCCAGAGATCCTTCCTGCCAGCCCATGGCCAGCCCTTCTCTCTCAGGGCTACCAAAGTCCTCAGCCTAACAAAAATGTCTCTTCTATCTACTGTACTGAAGACCACAGATCCCAAGCCTACCCTTAGCAAACTACGTGTTTCAGTAATAGTTCCAGGGAGGGTAAAAGAAACAGTTGTCAAGAAATAAACACAGATGCCAAGTACTTTGTTGTGTGATCAATAAGGTAGCTTGTTTCACCACTTAAAATTCATCCAAAGGGCTCTTTTATATAGTCAGAAGCATCTGTGGCAAAGGTATTTTTGAACATACCTACGCTCCAAGTTCAGAGTGTTGTGGCTTTTTGGTTTTGCTTTGTTTTCAAAAAGGTTGATGAAAATCATTTTCCTAAACTGACATCAACAACTGTAACACATGTACAGAAACAAGATAGCAGTCTCATACAGGAAATATTTCTGCTTTCGTTTTTATTTTATGAATACATATACAACAGATGCATAATCTTCCATTATCCAGGCTTCAAAGTAACAGGTTGGGGTCTTTTTTTCCCCAAAATAGCTTAAAGAAGAAAATAAAAATCAGAATGAAGGAGCTGTGACATAGCCAAACCATACATTTGAAACCTTTGCTAAAATTACTGCTGAAATGTGCTTCTGTGTGTATGTGTGCATTGTCCTGCACAGTTAAAGCCTTACCCAAGATATTTAGTAAATGAATAAAAAAATGCTTTGGCATAATCAGAGATTCCTCCATGCACAGTTTATTGACATTTCTGAAATAATAAGAAAACAAAATTGGAGGACTATATCATATATAATTTCCTCTTCTTGGGAGAAATGCCTTTAAATGCAATGGGGAAATGAAGAGGAGTCTGTTGACTTTGCTTCCTTACTAAGATGGTTATATTAGCAGGATGCAAGCAGCTTCATATAGTAGAGATGGAGAGATATATGTATATAATGTAAAAATGCTATTTTATATGAGAAAAGAAAGTTTTTCAAGATAACATAAAATGAACCACTCTAAGACTAGCTTCCAGCAAAACACTTTGCTTTATTAGTTCTATTGTCTAGCTACAAGTCAAGCTGACATTTGTCAAGCTTTTTAACTTTTCATATGTCAGTCTATAAGGAACGTTTCATGCAACGTCTACAACACTAAATACAGGGTAAATAACTGGGATTAAACATGTGAGGAATAACAGATTATTATAAGGACCAGTAACAGCATATTATGTACATAGAGCCATATTATATTCTCATGTCTTCACAGTAATGTGCAAATGTGACAAATATGGCTTTCATTTTTTTTTCTAAAGAAAGTAAGACATAATTATACAGAAGAATGTTTTAAAACACTTAGTTGGATTTCACCATTTTGTGAAACCTGTTCAGTCTTCATTGCATCGGGGTTAAGGAGCCACCCCAGTTCGGGGGTGTAGTTTGGAGGTGTTTCCAGGAGGGGGCACAGATTCCTAAGGCACAATATTAATGTTAAACATTTTTAATTTAGTCATGCTATTTTATTTTAGTTTTGCTTTTATTTTTTTTTTTGTTATATGAAGTAATAGGTCGTTTCTAGTTATATAATAAGCAGTTGATCGTAAAAAATACAATGTTGAAGGCTACACTACATGCCTACCTGTAGCTCCAGGAACATTAGGTAATCTGAAAACACATTATACAGCGCCACATGTGAAACCAAGGTGGATTTTTGGTAACATCCTTTTCCATACATGTAGCAGAGAGTTATAAGGCTTCTGCGGAATAATAATATTATAACTGAACAAATATTTTACACTCTTCCATAATAGTATTTACAGTCACTATAACTCATATTCTGACATTTGGTAAATAACATGTATCTTGTATGCATCCTTCTTGCCTATCTAAAGTGCTTGCTTAACTGCGTGAGGAAAGAAAATGCATACCTGCTTTAGGTGCAACAAACCCTAAGAAGAAGTAGCTGAAATATTTGCTGTGGATTTGAAATGCATTCTCAGAAATTGAAATTATTGCTAAATTCAGTGCCCTTACTAGGCAATCATCTATATTATTTGTCATATATAAATATATGCATATATACTAGTATGTATGTACATGCATATACATTCATCTATCATGTAAAAGATAGATTTCAATTTTTTGTCCATCAACCTTTTTATTTTGTGCTATTCAGTTCACTTGTGCTATGACAGAATCTGGATCAAAATCAGAATCTTACTATGCTACTACTACCAACCCTATGATTCATTAGCACGTAATAAAGGCAATATGCAAAAAGAAAGCTGAGATGATGATGAATCAGGAGACTTTTGAAATGCACTGAGAATAAGGCAATAGGCTGTACATTACAACAGAGGAAAAGCTGAGGAAAATTCTGGAATTCATAAATGTGTCTTACTTGAGTTAGGATTGCTCTCCTTACTCTGCTGCAAGGTCCTATGCTTTTTTCCAGTATCGTTCTCCAGAATTCAAGCTCTAGAGTTTCTGCATCTACCAACACTTTTAATGGTAGCAAATTCAAAGCTTATTAAAAATGCCCTGATGCCACAACCTGGTAAAATAAGGCACTTCCAGGGCTGTATTCCAGCGGTGCCATGCCAAAAAGATCAGCAATGGGAAGAAGCGCTCAGATTTTGCAGAGTTTCCTAGTTTTGTCCCACGAAATGCGCCATCTTGGAGCATACTCCTTCTTCTCTCTTTTGAGATGATTTTATTTTAAAAAAGTTGTTTCATCAGTTGAAGTTGAGGAGCTACTTCTTTGTAAGCAAGAGGTAAATCTTCAGTTCCTGACATTCATTAAGGTGGAAGATCAGAGTGGTACCAGGCAATGTCTTCAGTTCATTCAGTATGGCCCGACTCGAGGTGATATGCCAGCCAAGTCAAAAGTGTGTATTTCATACCAGGCCCACACTGAAAGCTATGAGTGGACATTGGTACTGGAAAGGTCATTCCTTATAATTTCATTTACTGCAAAGAAAGAAGACAAGAAAAGGAATAGATTAGCATCCTGCTGCTGCAGGCAGTTGTCCTCAGTCCACAACCCCCCTGAACTTGCACTCATTTCTTTACAGTTTCAGTACAACTTTGAACAGTGAGTGTGACATCACCAGGTAGCTTGTACAGGCTGATCACAGTGCAAACCCAGCAGGATTAACCAAGGTTATTAACATGCCAAATACCATGTAAAACCAGGCATCATAAAGCCAGCAGCATCCTGGATCCTTGATTGCATCCAACATATTTAACATTTCAAATTGGTTACAGATAAAACATTTCATTTGCTCTAGAACTGCCTCTGAAATGCAAAGCCAGGAGGACTACAAGAGATCTTAGAATAATCTACTCCTTCCACAAAAAGAGCTGCTTGGAAAGTATGTTAGCCATGGTAGGTACTGGTGGCAGAAAGCTGCCAGTCACTGAATCTGGGTATGTCCAGATGCAATGCCTAGATAGAATACAACTTCACATGATGATTTTTTCCACTGTGGGTTGATATTAGGGAAAAAAAAAAAAAAAAGAGAGAGAGAGGAAACTGCTGTATGCTTGCCCATTCCTGGAGCTGGTAACATGTTTAAATATATACCCCCCATCGTGGTGACCAGTGCATATGGACATGCACTCTTTACTTCTATCTACACAAACAAATGAGAGGGACAAACAAGTTAAAAAAACTCTCCTGGAAGAGTTAGAGGAGACAATAAACAATGTTTGCTCTCTCAGCAACATCCAGCCAGACTGTATCTCCACTGATAAAGAGTTGTTTTCTTTATTCATGAATCTTCTTTCTTTCTTTCCCCCTCCCCTGAAGATCATCAAGCAATACAGTTTCCCACACTCCAATTATGTCCATGTGATTTTTGGCAGATGGGCAGGAAATGACTGAACCTGGCAAAGGTCATCAACACAACATCCCTTTTATTTCCACTCCGCCTCCCTACAGCAACTGGCACCACCTGATTTACACGGAGATAGACAAAATGCCATCAACAGGACTATCACTGCTTCTGAATTTCTCTAACATTGCCAGGACTGGGAAACACGTGCCCACGTCATGGAAGCACCAGGAAAAAGCCTGCATTTTCCTTTCCTTGTAGGCTGCTCTTCACAGTAATCCAGATAACTTCATGTGTTTACTGGAAAAGACCAAGCCTGTGCAAAACCAGCTTCCTGAAGCAATTAGTTGGGTACGTTTGGTGTTGGTTTTTATGGCTTTTTTTTTTTTTTTTTTTTTTTTTTTTTTTTTTTTTTTTTTTTTTTTTCCTGCAGACCTATTGCCCACTTAATAATTACAGCACATGAATCACTCAGGATTTGTGTCACAGGTCCTGGCCACCAAAGCCAATTCTACCAATAGATGCACACACCATACTTCAGAGTGGAAATATCAGTTGCATTTGTGACTATCTACTTACAGCAGCAAACTAAGAAGTATGGAAATGAGCTGTGAAAAGACAAAGCAGTTCTTCCCCTTGAGAGTGCTGTGGAGTTTGTCTTTAATATTATGAAAGAGCAAAAACAAATTCAAGTGGCAAGCCCTGCACTGAGGCAAAGACTGCTCTGCATGCATCCAAACCCAGCCAGAAGTGCCATCCTGTTCATATGTGGCCAGACTCCAGAGAGCTTTAGGCACTGAGTCTCTGCCTTGAATGCAAACAGCATTCAACTTCTGTGGAATTCTGCCATGATGCTTTTGTAAAGATCACTTCTGTGATAAACTTCTAAAGGCACTCTCAGGTCTGCAGCAAAATCACACAGTGATACCTTTGTGTTTTATGTGACAATGAAAACAAATCCTCCTACCAGCCAGGCAGCATCATAGTTTTGCTAACTTTCCCTCAAAGCTTCTGTTAAATCAAATAAAGTTAAGACACTAATCAGAGCTAGTGTCACTTGTTGTACAGTTACTTAGTGCTTAGAAACATTAAAGAATGAATCTTCACAGTGCTTCTGTAAAATGTGAACATAAAAACATCACTGGTATTTCATGGGCATAGGGAGGTGGAAATGCGAAGGCCCTCTCCATCTCAGTCAGGATTAGCACCAAGGCATCTCAAATCTCTGAGTAATGCTGTACCACTTGCTGAGTTACTCCTGCTTGATTCTTTCAGTGAAACTTTCAAAAGCAACAGCCTCAGCCTGCCAGCTCATGCTTTCCCCTATTAAAGCATGTAGCAAAGGTATTTTGGAAGCAACTTGATGACAGGAGCCAAAGATCCAACTCCAAAACCAGCTTAGACAGTCAAGGGACTGCATCTTCCAGTCACTCCAGGTACCTTCAGCTGATCATCTGTCACTTAAGTGCTGTAGGACACGTCTTACTCCAGATATGACACAACTTTTCCTTTCAGCTGGGAGCCCACCTACCTTGGCTCAGGCCATGAGACCACGGTGCTCCTTGAATCACACTCTCTCCATCTCTCAGCAGCCAAATCAATTTGTCCCCAGCTGAAATCACTCATATTTTGTTACTGACTCACAGCAGTTTCTTGCTTGTTTTTATTTTATATTACTTTCATAAGAGAGGTGGACTTCTACCTTGATGAGTAACTCTGGCATCCTCATGCAACAACATCTGGCAGCTGTTCAACAACAGTCACTAGACAATGTCACCACGTTCTTGGGAGACAGCTGAACCTCAGCCCAAGTGCATCCATTGCCACCAGACATCGCTATCAAACAGGCCCAAAACCACCAAAAGGACACTCTCCTCCGCAATGTTCTGTGGACAGTGTGGCTCAGATACAGCTCTCTTTATTTCACTGTTTCACTTGCTGTTTGTAAAAACCCACTACAGTGTCAAAAATGCAAAATATTCCCAACAATGCAGTGGAAAATAACCTGCAGAGAAGGACAAGGGTGCATGCAAAAGGCCCAGGGGGGGAATACATGGCAGCACAGCTGACCTTGCAGCAGCAGACAGCTAGCAGAGATGAAAGAGGAAGTGTGATTCGAGGGGGCTTTCCCTCACTGCCCACCCAGACACCTGAGGCTGCAAGGAAAACCCTCTGGTGGGTGGAAATGGGGGAAAACCAGGAGGCAAGCCCATGTGAAGTGTGATGGGTGATGCTTGCTGGGTTTGCTAGAAGGATGCTCCCCACTACCTACCCCCAACTGCATGGTTCAGCACTTCCATGAGGACTCTCCACATTTTTTGTTTCTGATTTCTGGAAAATTTATTTCCTTTTAATACTCCAAAACATGTTGACATTTCTGTTGCATGCTAAGAAATATTTTATTTTGCATCAAATGGAATGTCTTGGAATGTTTTTTTGACCCCAAACAGATTTTTCTTTCATTTGGCAAGAAAACATCAATATTCTTGTTATAGGCTGACCCAAGACTGTCTTTCTCAAGAGCAAATCACACCTCTTCTACTGAAGTTCTGCTGAAGCATTTTATGTGGCCATCTACACCAGTGTAACAACTACCACTGCTGTCAGTTCTTTGGGAAAGAACATAAGAACCAGCACACCTCTAGTGGTGCTGTCTCTAGTTTACCTTTGCTCTGCTGGACGACTTTGTGAGCCAGAGGTCTGCAATCGCGCTTCTAATAGACTTTGGTGAAGTTTTTTCCATTAAATTTTCTACTAACCTTCTGAACCTGTTCTGGCCTTCACAGTTTCCTATAGCAATGGTTCTGCAGTGTGGAAAAAGGTTTTTTTTTTCTGATTTAAATTTGTTTCTTGTAAATGAGTTGACTGTTCCCTGTTCATTGTCTTCTCTGCCATCTATCCCTTTGGTATCCTCAGAGCTCCACTTGGTCCTGTAAGACCACTGCAGAACTTCCCAGAGAGGCAAGATCTGATCATGCAGATAAAGTAATTGACATTTTTCTCTCGGCTCTCACATTTGTAACAATATTATATAGTTCAGGAGAATTAGCTGTTTGCAGTCTTGAATGCTTAAGTTTTGACTTATAAACCTGCTACTATTATAAGAGGATTGTGCATGCTCCACAGAACAGCAATATTCAGTGTAAGCAGTATTTTGGCCCAGGTTTTGAGTTTCATTCCTAAAGCAAATGCTGGTCTTTGATTCTCTGGCTGCTTGGATACACATCCTTTCATGTCTGCAGTACCATTCCAGGAGTAGCTGGGTTTTGAATAAGCACAATATTCTTCAAAGAAAGGTTGCAATGGCTTTACACTAATTTTTAAAACAACATAACCTGAGTACTAAAAAAGACCTGTTTTATAACTAGGAGAGAGGAGATCCAAATGATTACCCAGCTTGTTGCAGGCTCTACATACAGCATAGCAGCAGATCTGGGATAGCATGCAAGATGTTTAATCTTCAATACCTAGAGTAGCACAACACTTCCCTTAAAGCACCAGGTTGATCTCTATCAGATCAAAGAGCTGAGTACTATGATTTACTGTGCCTTTGTCATCAGATTTTTTTTCACTGTTTTTCTGCTGGCTTTGGCAGGGAGGCCACTGTCGCTTTCATAGCTAACACCTACAGTTCCCCACAATGCCTTCTCTCAACTGATATTTTCCATTGTCATGTTCAGCTTTTCCACTGACAGAAAAGTCAAAAAATAATAACGCTGAGAAATGCAGGTAACACATGACCTCTCTACCTGTCAAGGCTTCTGAAAGAGGAACCTTTCCTTTGCTAAACAGCAGATGCCACAGTAGCAGGATGTGGTGAGCTGTTACACCACATTTTAGTCTAATAGGAGATTTTTTTTCCCTCTTATATTTAATTTTGCCTTGAAATGTCCTTGAAATGGAAATTTCTGCTTTACTAATTAGCAAAATCAGTATCTTACACCATGCACCAGTTTGGGCTCCTGCATGGAACATGACAACCAGATATATCTGTACAAATGTGGGTTCCATATATAGATGTGAACTTCATAGGAAATGTATTATTTTTAACACTTGGTAGTTGTACATGGATTCCATCAACTGGCAAGACTGTAAATTTCTGCAGATTTCTGCCTTCCTTGCATCTGACTACTA